GGACCCTCGTGTTAGATAGGCGCTTGATCAAGCCTACCACCGCAGTCGTCGCTGACGCCTTCGCGGCCGCCTGCGTCGCAGGGCTGAGCTTGGGGTCCAGCGAGACGCCCAGCCACTTGATGGATTTGCCAGGGGAAAAGGACGCCCCTTCCACCTGTGTCGAAATGTTTGCGGGATCAAACCTGCCTCGCTTTGCCGGAGGCCCCCCGGGGGGGGGAGGGAATATACAGGACCTTTGTCTTGTTTGGGTCGATCCTGAGGCCGATCCCCCGGGCCTTGGTGCGTAGTTGTCCGACCCTGAGGGATTCGTGGTGGGCTAGTTGCACTGGGTGTTTGCTCCATGAGAGTTGTGCGTGGTCGTCCATGTACATAAACGAAGATCCCTGTTACGAAGGGGTGATAATTGGTAGGGAGTACAGGACGAAGAGGACTGGGAATCATGGAAAGCCTTGTGGGAGACCAGTGTCTGAGCGGAAAGTCGACTGTGCCCACCGGAACGAGAAGCGGCGGTTTTGGCAGAAGTCGGCCGCTGCCTTACAGAGCCAGTGTGGCCAGCCTTGATCCGCGAGAACCTCGCGGAATATCGGCGGCTGAACCGAGGGATAGGCCGAGTCCACATCCAGGGTGACCAGGAGCTCATGGTAGCCTTGTCTCGACATGGTCTCCGCGTCATGCACGAGCGCCTGGACGAGGTCCAGCGCGGATCTAGATGGGACGGCTCCTGCAACGTCTGGGGGGAGCAGCCCCGAGTTTAGCGCCGCCGCTGTCATCCTTCGGCCCAGAAGCCTCTCCACGCCGTTGCCGGAAGTCGACAGCAGATCGGCCGCCAGCCCTTGTAAGATCACGGATCTCTCCCGGGCTTCGAGAGGATGACTACTGTCGCTTGTTTGAATGCCTTAGGGAACGCTCCCCATTTTATGCAGCCTTCGGCAATAGCCCGGGCAGCTGGACGAACGAGCTCCCAGGTGTGTCTGAAGAATGCCAGTGGCACCCCATCGGGGCCGGGTGTGTTCGAGGTGGCACCGAGGAAGGCATTCTTGAGCTCGTCGTCGCTGGGCGGGTCAGCGAGCCTCGCTG